TTTTTTTTTTTTTTTTTAATTTTAATTATAAATAATAATCATTCATTTTTAAAATTATTCAAACTTTTTTTTTATTCATTGTTAACTCTATTTTCTATATATTTATTTATAAGTCAATTTTTTTATACTCTTCATTTAATGTTAATTTTATTTTCTATACACACACATATATAGCATTAAATATACCAACTACTAAAAATAAATAATATATTTAAAATAAAACTTAAATTTATAGTAAAATTAGTTTTTATATTATTATTTGTAAAATTTTCCTATTTATTTATGGAAAAGGGGGGAGGGACCACTAATCTAAGCAAGTAGGGCGGAGGGGCATTGGAATATAAAGAATATTTATTTTGGAAAAATTGAAAGATTATTTTGACTTGACCTAGAATGGTGGTAAAATTTAGATATGCGAGGCCATTGACAGCTCAGTGAGGAAAAATAATACATTAGACAAGTTGTATGCTGCAGCGAATGTGTACTACAACTATAGTGGCACTGCTTCGTGTTTCAATTTGGACGACGATTCAGATCCTCACGATCTTGGAGGATGGCAATGGCAGGTACTTACCAGTTACCAATCCATTCTTCTCAATTTTAGATTTCTTGTCTTTTTAAATTATCACTTCTCTCCATAACTCACTCTGTTGATTTTCCTAGTTAAATATTGTGAGCCTCCATCTGGATCAGTTTCTGTTTCGTACAGTAATTAGGTCAAGAAAGTTTAAACTAATTAAGTAGTTTGATTTAGTCAAGAATTAGATGTTTCGGTTAGGAACTTAGGATCGTTAAAATTCACAGGTATCACAAATAATAACTTTAGCCGCGTCTCTTAATTATGATAATTAAGATTTAATTCTTAATTATGTGTATAAAAAAAGATTTATTTTGATAATTATTTAGAATTGGTTTAGTGGGGATTGGGAAGTTTGGGTAATTTACGGGAAGTCTTCAATTTTTATTGATATGACATGGATTAGCGTATCATGTAAATATTTTGATTAAATGTTGGATATTAAGTTAACAAATAAAAAAAAAGTTGCATAATTAAAATAGTGAAAAAATAAATTCAGAAATTTTTGCTTTGAAAGATGAAATTTGTGAATTTGAAAAAGTAAGAGAATCAAATTCAATTAAGCCTTTTATTTTTTAATATTTAAAGATGTAATTATATTATAAATATTTGTTTAAACCATTGTAATTAAAAATTCTAATATTTTCTAAAATATTTAAATAAATATAACCAAACGCAATTATGAAACTTTTGTCCAACTTTTTTGCTTATACTCGTTGGAAATACAATCAGGTTAAAATAAAAAACTATTATCTGGTCCACCTCCGTCATATGCTAGAATAGTAGAATCCTACACATTAGAGCTGTCAAAAATTCGCCTGTTTGATCTAACCCACCTCAATCCATTATTATCCCTTGCTTTCAGCCTTTCCTCATGATTTGGTGAGACTAAAAAATATTCCCGGTTATTCATTCATTCGCATTTTCGTTCATTTAAATGTTCAAATTGTTTGATCAGGCATACAACTTCTTCCATTAAGAACCGTAATTAAGATAGCTTCAAGGAACAGGTTGCTTTTAACGCTATATTCTTTTATTATTATATTTTGGAACCTCTTTTTATCAAGAAAAGAAGACATAACAAAGAAGACGTGTTACTGTCTCAACGTAATAATTGTTTTTTGTCAGATTTAGCATGTTAAGTATTACTATAGAATTAAAGTATGCGAACAAGATTAGCACTCTATAAGCTATTAATCATTTGTAATACACTAAAAAATATATATATAAAAAGTGAAAAATAGTAACAATAATATGGGAAGATTATATACATGGATTATGAATCAACAAAAATTAAAAAAAGATAAATCACAACAATTATGAAAAAGAAAACCTCTCAAACAAAAGAAGGCAAAACAAATCATCACCTATAAAAATCTTATGCTTTAAATTAAAATCAACTAATTTTTCTATATATTAATTTTTCTCTTATAAATATGAGAATGAAATAAATGTATATGTAAATAAAATGATAGACAATGGTGTCATTTGTCACAGATGTCCTAAGAACACAATTTGGGTGTTTCCAAAAGCATCCAGAACAAGCTTAGAATCACATTCTAACTAATGTTTGTACCACTCATCATGCACATGTTCAATAGCACACATAACAATAATAAGTTTAACTTGCAAAGTGACCTTCATACCAATGTAGGATACAAATTCACTCAAAAAAGCTTTGCTACTATCTCTAAAAAGGCCACCACAAGTAACATAATTAGGGGAGTCTTGAACATCTCTATCTATGTTACGCTTTATAAAGTCACAAGCTAGAGAATACTAATTAACCTATCAAAGGAACGGTCCAGACAACCATTGAAATTGAGTGTTGGAATAAAATGACTCTATTATTGAAGCACAAACAATTTTTCCCTAACCAAATTTAGAAAAGACACATCAATATGTTGTATCTTGTAGACGTCCACATGTAAGTTATTGTGTGAACCGAAAACTCAGGAGCCACCTCCATTGTCCACATGAAATAAATATGAAAGCTCGATGCAAATCAATTATTCTTTCTAAATGTAAATTTAAAAAAAAAAACAAAGTTTGAATGAAATAAATTTGTTAAATCACTTTAAACCCTCTTTCACTTAATACATGCTCTCAAACATCATATTTTAAATTGAATTCAGCAACCCTAAATCTTCTCCTCTTCAAAATCTTAACTTCACTCCCTGTAATTTCTTTTAAATTTCATCTAATTTTTAACTGTTTAACCTTTTAAATCATCATAAATCTCAAACTTATTCTAAACCTCTAATTATTTGAGTAAAGAATAAGGATTAAAGGACTTGGAACTTTAATTATTTGCAGCCAGCCCAAGGTCCATTTTTTTTCTTAATTGTTTGCCTAATTAAGAACCCTTATCATGTTCTCTCAAAGAAAATTATTTTTTATTTCTATTTTTTTCACTAATTATGAACGCTAATAAGGTTTAAAAAAACGATTTATTTTAAAATTTTTGGCAAAATAAGAAGCAGATCCACTTGATTTGGAAAAAACAAATGGAGGTTAAACCAACAGTCCAATACTCCAATCCGAAAGCTTGCCTTATAAACGCGAGATAAAAAATAATAGACCCATTGGCTTACAGGCTTACCAGGCCCAGCTTGTATAGAGTGATGCCCTATCCACATACCTGGAATTTGTACACTTACGACCCAGTTTCCTCCATTCTGCTTTCTGCATGAACTCCATCATTTTAACTAGTAATTTACTTCCTATTTCTACTTGATAAATATTTTTCAAATAATTCAAATTCATAACAAATAATACTTTTAATATATAAATTATATTATAATCAAAATCCATAATAAATATTTTAAACGTATAAACTATATTTTAGATTATAATAAACAATTTAAATTGTGGTACATATTTATTTTTAATTATTATCAATTTATTTTAAAAAAAATATTGAAATTTAATTTAAAATTTTTAAAAAGAAAATAAATTAAAAGAAATAGATGATTGAAAAAAATAAAATATACATATAAAGATAAAATGAAAATTATTTGAAATAGTTGGGAGAAGATTTTTTTCGGCTAGTTAGTGGAATAATGCGTGAAATGCACATAAAAAAATATATTTAATTAAGAAAGCGAAAGTCTCGCCCCTTGCAGTTGTGTAGTTTAATTTATAATATAAGAATGTTTTAATACGGAGTTAGAGCATGAATTTAGTTATTTTCCTCTCCAAAACCATGTACCTGCCTATGTCAATTCTGAAAACCTTGTCCACGATATTACAAAGCTTCTCCCTCTGTTTGAATTCCGTAACCTATATATTGGAGACTCCAATAATTAAGGTTGTTTTTCTTTCTGCATGCAGGCGTGTACGGAGATGATAATGCCCGTAGGTGGAAGCAATAAGGAGAGCATATTCCCAGAATATGATTGGTCATACCAAGACAGAGTCGATGCCTGTTCCTTTTTCTACAACGTTACGCCAAGACCACATTGGATTACAACTGAGTTTGGTGGCCATGTCGGTATCAATCAACTTTTAGTTGTTAAGTCTCATGTTTAATTTCCATTCAATGTTGATCCATTGTGTTTTCTGCAGGCTATTGAAAGAGTTCTCAAAAGGTCTGCCAGCAACATTATATTCTTTAATGGATTAAAGGATCCTTGGAGTGGCGGAGGGTATACCATGCCATCTCTTCTTTCTATCCCTCAATTACTTTTACTGTAGTTTAGTTTCACCAATTATACAACCTCTACTTATGGGTTTGGTTGCAGGGTGTTAAAGAGTATATCAAAAACATTAGTTGCTATCGTTGCAAAAGAAGGTTAGTGGATCAATGTATTGTATGATATTTACTTCTTTCCATTTTCCTATTACTCTATGTTTATTTGGGCATTTTGTGAGCAGGAGCTCATCATGTAGACCTAAGGTACTCGAGTAAGGAAGATCCGAAGTGGCTTAAAGATGTTAGGAAACAGGAGTTAAATATCATAACAAGTTGGATCTCACAATACTATCGAGACCTAAATTCCAATTACTAAGGGGTTACATTCTTCTCATTCTTCTGGCATTTGCAATTGTTGTCAAATGAAACAAATATATATATTGGTTACAGAGAATAAGAAGAATATATATAAGTACTAGTTAGTCATAACAATCTTGTTCTGTAAGCACTAGTTAGTAATAACAATCTTCTTCATTTTCACTTTATTCTTAGGCACAAGATGGGTATTTTACCAAAAGACATGCGGTCTCAAATCTACTAACTTCATTGTTCACATGTTAGGTCAACGCTACAAGAAAAATGTAAATTATCGATGAATAATTTTTTACAAATATAAATCTATCAGAAAATTTATATTTTTGACAAATTTTACCGACGAAAAAAAATTACATCGAAAAATTTATATTTTCAACGAATACAAATTTGTCGGTAATATAAATTAAAAGTTATTAAATTTTACTAATAATTAATATATAAAAAATTGATTAGTTTTGGAATAAATTATTTGCAAACAATATAGTTGAAAAATTAATTATTTTAAATTATTTAACTAGAATCTTATTGAAAATTTACTATATGATCTTGGTATTTTTGTATAACTAATATCTGATTTTAAATTTGATATGAAAATATTATGATATAATTAGATAATAATTTAAATTAATATTTTATTAATGGTTGATAATTAAAAAATAAAATAAGGATAAATACATTTTTTGAATTTTATATCTTAGATTTAAGATGAATAAATATATTAAGTTAATTAATAATTTATTTAAAATGTTAAAATTTAATTTATAAAAATAATATTTTAAAAGAGAAGGGTTATAATAACACCAGTGTAACTTTTGCTAAGTATTACACCGCTCAATAACTTTATATTAAATGTGAATTTTATAAATT